TGGAATAACTGAGAATGACTTGTCAATCACAAGGTAGCCACACCCTAAAGCATACCCTTCTTTAAAATTTTCACTATATCCTGACAGTAGTACATAAGACAGATGATCAACAAATCAGACCCAAGAAATATAGTTTATTGTTGAGTCTCATTCCCAGGTTGTCAAATACAGATGCTTTGGGACACTGGGAAAGAGACTCAACAATCAACTATATTCAAGCCTCCAACCCAAACTTTCTTTATATGTTTCTTGGCTCTGATTGGTTGTTTTCGTTCAGGCCCAGTGGATTCTTATAAATGCCTAATGTGCTACTATTAGGATATAGTGAAAGTTTCAACAAATATGACAAACATTTTCAGATTTTTTCAAATTACCTTCTGCAGCTTTAACATCATGTTGTATGGAAGACGACTTGAAACTAGAGATTGAGACGATAAAATCGTTAGGAAACTGTTCACTGAGCTAATAAATCAAGTCAATCCTAAGGAGATTTCTCCATAAGACTCAATACTATTGGACCTCTTTTTGGAGTCAGTGAAGTGCCCCCCTGCTGGCCATTACTGAAGAATGCAGTGGCAAACTATGAACAACTTTAACTTCTATCCCATTTTTGAAAGATGGAATGAGGAAAGAAATGGCTGCTTTTATTGACTGTAATTTATGTATATGTAATTTATATAGTTTTATTATTGATTTACGATAAAGAAATACTCAGAGGGGATTCCTCAAGACAAAATCCTCTCAAATTGGGGGTCCATGGTCTATTTATCTATTGAGGGGTTCCTGGATATGAAAATGTTTGGGTAATATATGGTTACCCACAATGCTGATTAGGCATAAAAAGAAAGATGTTTAGATGAATATGTACATTAGTACACTTAAACCAAAGTAAGTGCTTTTGTTAGGAAATGTCAGTCTGTCAGTCAGTGCTTCTTCAATCTCCTGTGGGATTTTTGGCCACAGTGAACATGGACACATTTTCTCAAGAAGTGATGGACCTCATTTTTCTTTGGGTGCTAAAAGCTGACAACCATAATGACCGACCTTGAGATTCCTTACCCAATTCTATCTTACCATAAGAGGTGACAAACACAGTACACAGTAGAGCATGCTGTAACTTAGCCTTGGAATATTATTGTATAGGCGTCATTATTAAAGTGAAGGTTAAATCGGATAAGGGGATCCTAAACACATGACCTGGGTAGCGTGAACTTTTCAACATATAATACATTATTATTAACAGACAGATTAACACCAGATCACAGTAACACCACGGCAAGCACATGAGATTCGCCGGCAAGCAAATGGGTCACAAACACACATGGGGTTATTTCAACAAAGTGTGGGTATGATAAGAAAAAAGGGCAGCGACCCACAAGAAAAGGAAAAGACTGCTTCTTCAGGCAATGGATTGAAGACAACACCAAAACAAAGTCCATGCAGCATCAAAGGGGACATCAATCTTCTGGGTGCAAGGACCCAGAAATAAGGGAAAGAGTTTTATAAAAAAAAAATGCAGGGGAAAGAGATTCCCCAGAGGTCAAATAAAAATAAAATTAAATAAAACTTGCCATGTAGTTTGCTGTGGTCACACCCGGGTATGCAAGATCAAAACGGGTAACCAGTGCAGGCTGCAGGTAAGAAACGAAAGACAAGATCACCAGCCAGTATACTTGGGTAAAGACAGAGAGAGACAGGGAGAAAGAGAAGGGAGCCTAATGCAACAGGATAAAAAAGCATTAGTAATGGTTACCCTGTCACATGTTGAAAGGAGGAGAGGGGAAAAATGTTCAAGGGTGTTAAGATTGGATGAGGATGAGGGGGTGGATTACTCTGGTTTCCTGCATTATTTCTGTCAATGAGGAAGAGCCTCTTACCCAGTGTAGACATTCCCATCGACTTACTGCACAAGTGCAAAATTAAATTCACTGATCATCACTACTTATGGAAGCAAGTATTCGGATTTTAAAGCCACTGAATTCATAGCATTGAAATATTTTACTTTGAAAAAATTGTATGTGAATGTATTTGTTCTGACTTCTTCTCTTTGAAATGATTAAAATACGAAATTTCCTGATTTACAAAAAAGCTAGAAAAAAATTAAATATAGGTTGCTCAAATTTGATTGGTCAAATTCATATCTAAAAATCCAAGTTGAAAAAAATTCAAATAGAACATCCACATGACTGAATGCAATCGAACCGACTTCTAACCTATCAGAGCACGGTCTACCAGTCATGTGGTCCAAGAAAGTGGCACAAAAAGTGACACCTAGAAATGTCTACCAGGGAGAACGACAGGGCTGTAAAAAACAACACAAACTGGCTTACTTATATTGTAAATGACTGAATTACTAATTAATTTTTGCTATTTGTATATTTTTCAACTTGAATATTTTAGAGCTGAATTTGTCCACATTGAAATGAATATATATATATAACTCAGCTTGAAATCGCAAATCAAGAAATTTCATATTTTAATTTCAAAGAGGTGTATTCAAAACATATTAATTCAGATACATAGTTTTCAAAGTTAAATATGTCAGTGCTATGAATTTGAAGTATTTAGTGGCTGTTAAATTGCTCCATAACCACTGCACTAATGACTCAAACTGACTTCTGCAGCATATCAAAAGATAATAAAACAGTGTTGTGTTCACAGCTGTCAATATACACATTGAATTGAATTGAATTGAAACATTGAATGACTGTCAACACTTTTTGCAACCACACTTCAAAATATCACTCCTGTGATAATCAGACAGCATATTTGTCCCACTTGCTAATTTAGCCCTTTCTCACTGTTTGGAACTAAAACAATAAACAGCTTTCTTAAAAAAGAAAAACAAACAAAAAAAACTAACACACTACATAATGAAAATGAACCTGAGGCTGGTTTAAGGATGGTTGAGCCATATCACTGCCGTGTTACATAAACAATAACCTCATTTACTTTGAGAAATTACACTGAATATTTGCCATGCCTTGACCAATATATTCCAATATATACCGATATTATCGGCAAATAATGGCCTATTGCAGATATAACGGTATTGTAAACGCATAAATGTTAACCAATATGCACCATTAGGTTTTTTTCCAGTACATAATGCAGACAAAAATGCTGGTGGTAATATATTGGTGTCACTGCAATTGCAAGTTTATCCAGCAGAGAGTGCTGCGATTTACAATATTGTGATAAGCAGCACAGAGTATGTTCAATTATTTAACTTACTAAAGAATATTTAAGTTGAATATTCTTTAATAAACATATTTATTTAAGAAAGCAGCCTCTTGAGTACCTTTGAGTCACATCGGTGCACAGTAAACACAGAAAAGGTTGATTTTCATTCCAGCTCAAAAATTTACTGTATCGGATGAAATATTGGTAATCAGTGAATTTTTGCCTTCTAAAATCAGCCTCAAAAATCCCATATCAGTCAGGCTCAGACAGTCTGTTAGATTACATCGCCAACAGCAGCAACAGATGTGTTTATGACACAACACAGGGAAAAAGTGCAAACAGAGCTAAAGCACTCCTGACAATAAATGACTGTAGAATTCTGCCAAAAGGGAAACAAAGGTCTTAAATTCAAAGACAAAAGTATTAACATCATACTATGAGAGAAGTACTGTGTTAAAAATTCGATCCGTTTCTGCTGTTATGTGGCAGACCATTCCAGAGGACTAAATCCAAGTCGAGGCCAAGCGTCCAATCAAATGCATGCTGACAAACATCATTTACAATGATTTCAATTATGATAACATGTTATAAGCATTTCAGGCCAATTTTTACATGCCCAGTGGCAGCAGATTGAAGGAGAATGACTAAAGGCTTTGAAGTCAATCACACTTTTAGATTTTTAGATTACTTCTTCACATACTGTAGTTAGATATAATGTTTCTATAGGGGAAGAGTCACTTTCTTCAACAACAATAGTTGCGTTGAGCACTTACATTATGAAGAATTGCACATCTGCAACATCAGATCAGATCCATTACAGATTATTTTCCTGATGGTATTTCTAATGCAATAAAACTTATGCCCATCTCCCCACTGACAAGGTTGTTATTGGCATTCAAAAAAAGGAACACCACTAAACTTCATATTAAATCATGTAAAACTGCACAGGCTAAGAATATTAGATCCATAGACTTTGCGTTTATCAGTGGATTTCATTACATTTCTACAGTAATCACAGAAATGTTTCAGTCAGCACTTGACTCAACATTCTGCCTGTTCTTCTGTGAACCAAGACACAGAAAATATGCAGGCGATTCATTTTCCATTCACTGAAACAACCAATGGTTTGCCAAGAATTTCAAACACTGCCTGAGATAAACTGCACACACAATTCAACTTTTTCTTAATTTACAACATCGCCCTCTGCTGGCTCAAACCTCAGTAGAGAAACAACCACTTCACAACAAACTGCCAGCTGAACTGCCGTCTGACGTTTAACACTGGGTCAATAACACACTTGCAGCTTGTATTATGTACCTGAGACCGCTTAACACAGCTGGAATGTGTTCTTTTTCTCCAGCTTTGGACTTTAAGGCGTGCTACTTTGTGGGCAGAGAGAGGCACTGAGGTGTTAGAGGCTGGAGCGCAGGTCAGGACACACACCAGCACTTCATGGATCGAGATGATGAAGAGGGAAAAATGTGTGCAAGGAATGGTATAGGCAGAGAGAAGAAGGGATGTGAATACAGTGTTTTTTCACTTTCTCTTCTAATGATAGGCAAAAACTACAAACTGACAACCAGATTACTGTCACCAATTTGTGTTTGTGGGTCAGGAAAACACATCGAAAGAAAGTAAATGGGAAAAAAGAAAGAGGAAACATCTAAATGAGCAGACACAATATTGCATTGAAATTGGCTTGAATTCAACCACAATATATTGTCTACTCACCCAATGAATTGGGATGATGTTGGGGGCTCATGGTGCTAAAGCCCATATACTTAGAATTAAGGGGAGAGTGGGGTTGGCGCACTCACCTTGAGAGGAGAGATGTGGGAATGGGACACGTAGCCATGCACATTCTCGATCTCGGACAGGTTCTTCTCAGACACATGCACAAGCTCGGGGGCGCGAACCTCGTTGGTGAGCCGCGGGAATCCCTGGTCAAGAGGCGGTGAGTCGTCCTCTTGGTAGTGGTACTGCTGAGAGCAAAAAGGGAGGCAGAGGAGAGGGTGGACATTGAGAGAGAGAGACAGGGACAAAGAAAGGTTAATACTGGTTCTTGTTTGCATTGTTTGTTGACTGTCAAATCTGACTGACAATGTACTATTCATTAGGATTTGTGATTGTACAAAATGTGTATACATTTATACATTGTTTTATTATTATTAGCTAGTCATATCTCACATGGTTATTGCTGTTATAATATTCAAAGCTGCAGTAGGTAACTTTTCTGAAACTTACTATATCCTGACAATAGAACATAGGTTCCTCTGGATTGTTCTAGTGCTGCTAATGGCATTTGCAAGAATCCACCGGGCCTGGATGAAAACAACCAATCAGATCCAAGAAAGATAGTTGATTGTTGACTCTCATTCACAGTCTGATTGGTTGTTTTTGTTGCAACCTGGTAGACTCACAATAAGGGGGAAGGAGTAGAGATGGTGGACACCTACAAGTTCCTGGGGGTGACACTCAACAATAAACTGGACTGGACGGATCACACTGAGACCCCTCTACAGGAAAGGTCAGAGCAGGCT